AAAAAAATTTAATCATGATATGAAATGAATTGAAATAAAATGAAATGGATTCATGAATCGAACTATTCAAAAATATGCAAATGCAATATCTATTGTCACAAAATACCTTGGAGTAGTGCTGGCTTGTTAGCCCGTGATCTTTCTCAATTTTCTCTGCCCACTGCCGCGCCTGCTTTTCCACATCAGGATCTTTCTGAAAGAAAAAGAAGAGTAAAATGCTCAGGAAAGCCATCAGGAGCACCCACTCTTGCAGTTGCAGACTGATCCAAATCGGGCATGATCAAACAGACTGACGTGTTCGAAGTCGTACGAGGAGAATGAGATAACTCACTAGAAAGAGCCTGCACTCAAAATCAGCCAAAAATGTTTGAATTGGTGGGAAAGCAGATTCAAAGAGAAAGAGCAACCTACATTTTCACCCGAGCCCTGTTTGTTGTTAGAGGAGGAACCTTATACACCACTAGGACTCCAACAGCATGATCGATATCCGGAAATAAGGACTTCCCGCTATGGTTAGCGAGGTGTTTTTTCAGTGCAGTGAGGGCAACACGACCCTAAAACAATGTTTTAATCTATTTTGAAAAAATACGAGTTGCAGGGACCACAAATTGAAGCACGATATAGAATTTGAATGGTCCAAAGGCAACTGAAACAGACCACAACGATTTGAATGGTACAAAGGCAAAAATGATACCTGATCTTTCATTTCCTGTATCTTCTTCGCAGCATCCTCGATTAGCACGCTGGCCGAAGCTTCGCCTTTCACTTTCTTGTCGTCGCTGTCTTCATTTTTAGTGCTACTTGCTGGATTTGTAGTGATAGTAGAAATTTTCTAGAAAAACAGATGTCACACTGCCAACCAACAAGAAACCAACTAGGCGTTCGCTGAAAATGAGCAAAGAGAAATGATAGCACCCATCACCTTATCGTCATTTTGACGAAGGAATGAGTTTAATCATACCGAAACTATAAAGGACTTGTTGGCAAATGAGCATCCTCCGTTTGTGTCGAAATCCCGATCTCGATGGATTACCGCAAAATTTATACGTTCTAAGTACCGCAGACTATTTTGTAAAATTAGAGCCTTCTCAGTATCCTCACGATCAGGAAACTGTATGAACTGTTAACTTAATGTGTTGTCATGTCAACTGATTATGCTCGCTATTCTAAACTTATTCTGTTGTTACTTATCTACCGTAGCAGTTCTGACTAGTCTGTATCATACATTTATACAGTCGAGTAACTTCTCGGTAAATATAGTGCCCCAAAGATGCGTAATGTTGCGGTAACTTCCTGAGTGAATAGATAAGCCTGGAATGCCCCATCTTGCCCGCACAAATTGCCGGCAAAGAGCGTATATAACCATCTGTTCACGCGCCACTTTACAGCAACATCTCTGCACCACAACGGCACTAAATATATCTATCAACAAGTCCACCCGACTGTATATGCGCGGAAAGTAGGCTGGAAAGGAAACCATCGGTCAGCTTTTCTGACATAGATGCGCTTACCCAGCAGTAGCACTGAATTGTAATCCGCAAGCGGCAATTTGTACTTTTCTAAACTACCTTCTCAAGTTAATGGATAGCAGTTAGAGAGAAGCAAAACGATTGAAAAATTTTGTTCGAAAAATTTACCTTTTTGTTTGATAGTTTCCTCTTTTTGCTCAACCTCTTGACCGTAACCATATCTGAATGACTAAAAAAGGAGAGGTCTAAGCTTTAATATATGCCGTTCCATATTAATCGATAAGTACTTCTAAGGTGCACACCGCGATGAAAAAATACAGGTTATGAAGTCAAGATCACAGTTTATTTCCATCCAAAAAAGAAACAATATGAACAATCACGTATTTGTTTCCTTCGCCGAAAAAAGCCGGACTGCTCTTTCAGTTAGAGTGCCTCCACACTTCATTCCACGAGCTGAAATGCAAGACATTTGGGTTATTAGTGCTGATGAAGTGGTAAACAACCTACTTTTGAGAGCATGTTTGAGATGCTGCAAGCCTAATGCTTCCAACTCTTTTGCACTAGCGTACTTTGTAAGATCAATTTCCGCAAACTCTTCTTCGTGCTCTTCTTTGTTGAGGATCTTGAGATCTGCATCCTCGGGCTTTTCTGTCGTTGACTCGCTCCTATCGGCTTCACCCGTCTGCTCCTTCGATTGCTCACTCGGTGAATCAGCTGAGCCACTATCTTCAGGAGCCGGTGGAGTTTCTGTAGGAGGATTCTCTTTTGAGTCCACCTCTGCAGCGTCGTCTGCAGGAGTTTCCACTTCCTTTCGTAGAACCTCACCATTACTTTCGCTTATCTGTACGTCACCCTGAAACCGATAAGATGAAGTTAAGCAAATCGTCCTCGCTATTACAAATTTGTATCGTCGATTCGTAACACACAAAGACTGGACGCGCT